GATCAGCTCCAGGTGACTGGTCGGCTCCAAGTCGTTCGGTATAGAAACGACCTGACGCTTCGGACCAATATGATGATCGAGCCGAAATAACGCAGGCTGCTTCTATACAAAAAAAAACTTTTTAATCTTTTGGCACACTATCCTTACAAGGTGGTGTAACAGACAAAATTCTTCACGATTTCCTCATCCTGAGAGGATCAGCCAACTTCGAAGATGGTGTGAAACGTGTTGGAAGCACTTGCAGAACTTGATCACTTTTACTACATCTTAATGGCCCAAGTGTTTTTTTTGTATCATCTTCTCTGGTATATCCCACTTCTGATGTCGAATCGTCAGGATTACTCCCCGAGTGAGGAGTTTGGAGAAGCCATTATTACAAATAACCACTAACAATAGTTAATAAACTTAGTAAACTAATCCTTCTGCAATCTCAGAGCTAGTGAACTACATCAGCGATAAGTCTCAGCTACTGTGGCCATCCAGTTCACCAGTCTGAATCTTGAATCCGAATGCCTCCATTCCCGCTGATCCTTCGGCTGACGTATTCCACTCCCACTCCTCCGGGGGAAATACCCTTCTTCCCTGAAGATCACGAAGATGTGCTGCCTCGATCATGCACACGTGTCCGTCCTTGTTCTCCCAAGTGCTGACAATGTTATTTGGCAGAACTGTTGTTCACACGCTCCAGCGTGGAAACAATGACTCTTTGTATCTCTACCATGTGTGGACTACGATGTTTGATCAGGTGCTGTCGTCTTAGATACTCCAACATATATTAGTGTATAGTTATGATACAATGTGCGCACATCTATCTTAGATGACACTATTATCTACATTGTTTGCGCATAGATGACCATAAATGGAGCTATTACATTTATTTTAAGTTTAAAGTATTTAAATAAACTGAAAGTAATAAAATATTACCATAAAAATAATAATTTTAAAGCACACAAAATAAGTAATAAAGGATGGAAAGAAAATATAGATAATGAAATGGATAAAACTACGAGTTCGGACAGATCCACATAAATAACTCGCTAAAATCATAATTAAAGCCGATAGATAGTCGAAATTATGTGGATTGATTTAATGCATCGGAGTTGAATGGAAATGACATGATGGCTCCACGAACGGCTCGCACAAAGTCAGCGTTACATAATTAAAAAGAGTACAAAAAAAGAGACGATTATGAATGAATGTTTGCTCTCGGCCGACGATTGATGCATGTTAATTGCATGCGGAACTGAAAATCGCATCGCTAGTAAACGAAGCGAATAAATAATACGATCGGACAGTCAAATTTATTTATTTACTATTTGCAATGCCGACTCTCTTGGTGCACTCCATCGCAAACTGAAGAATTACACTTTCAAATTGATTTCTATTTTCGTTCCCTGGATTTTTCCTCTATTTATCATATATATAAATATTTTGTCTTTAATTTTATTTTTTATTTTTTCTTCCTTCGTGCTCTGTTCCTCCTCCTTGCTCTCTTCTTCCTCCTTGTTCTCTTTGTCCTCCATGCTTTTCTTCTTCTTCTTGCGCTCCTTCTTGCTCTCTCCATCCTCCTTCTTACTCTGTTCCCCCTCGTTGCTCTGTTCCTCCTCCTTCTTCTTCTTGCGCTCCTTCTTGGTCTCTTCTTCCCTCATGGTCTCCTCCTTCTCCTTGCTATCTTCGTCCTCCTTGCATTTCTTCTTTCTCTTCTTCTTGCTCTCTTCCTCCACATTGCTCTCCTTCTTCTTTCTCTTCTTCTTGCTCTCCTCCTCCAACGTCACCTCTTCCTGTTTCTTGATTTCTTCCTTCTTCTTCCTCTCTTCCTCCTCTTTGCTTTCCTTATCCTTCTTGCTCTTCTTGTTTTTTGATTTCATCTTGGGTTCGTCATATTCGGCGATTTCCTCCATAGGTTCCTACAAAATAGTGACATTTTAGCAAATACGTATTTTAAGTGTATGACATCAGTAACCTCTACGAATTCCTCCGCAACTACAGGCACCTACAAAATAATAAAATTTTAGCAAATAGAACATATTTTAAATTTATAACACCAGTAACCTCGATTTTCTTCATTTTCCTATAGCACTTTAGCGTGAACTTGCGGACAGCCTGTATGCATGTTGGACAGACTTTGGTAGAGAGGAAATCGTTAGGCGTAATCTGTAATTTAATGAAATTACATTCATAAATCAGCAAGTTTTTCAATATTATATAAGAGATCCATTATAGAATGGCACCTATTAATCAAAAAATAATAACAAGACCATCACCTCATGAATGTTATTGTATTCCAGAGATCGGCAACATGCGGCTCTTGCATTAAAAAAATTAAAGAAATTATAACTTACGCAAATACCGGTCTTCACTTCGATTGCCGTCGAAAAATTATATCCGCCAATTTCTTCCCACTCGACATCAAAAATGTCGATGAGATCTTCATCACCATCACATAAGCGACATGCCATTTTAACACTGTACCATCCAGGGGACCGTCAGTTGCTGGTTAATTAATTGCTCGCTAGGTACAACCAGGGAGGACCGTCAGTTGCTGGTTAATTAATTGCTCGCTAGGTACAACTTGAAGTTGCACCGAGTGAGCAAGTTGAAGTTGCTATCAAGTGCTATGAAGTGCTGCCAAGCACGAACAATTCCCATGCTAACGTTAAAAACAAAAAATAACTATACAGCGCACGCACGCGCAATGTATTATTTATTTATATATATAAATATATATATATTTAATTTAAATTAAAAAAATAATTTAAATTTAAACTGTTTTTATTTGCGAATTTTCCTATACACCAATTGATAACTTGGTCTACAAAAACAATAATTAACAGTAATTTAAATGTATTGAGTAGAATGATTAGTTACCTTCATCGTAGTAATTTTCCATTGCTCGAACAAAGAAGAATCAAGTGGAGGAAATTTTCTATCATTAGTATATCATCGCCGCTTTTACTATCGCACCCTGGGACGCAACAATAATAAACCATAGCAACAAACAACGTACATTAAATCAATTGTACTTAGACACACATAAATATATATATGTAAAGAATAATTGTAGACATGTTCCTTACTTGCTTTTTTCATCACAACGGCGAAATAGAAATGGCGAAAACAGACAAAAGATTTTAATATTCATAAAAAGTTTTATTATAGAAAAGTAAACATTTGAAACAGTACCCGGAGCCGATTGGTTCCGAATTCAACCGATTTCGGACGAAAAATCTTCTCTCTCAAGGCATGTGTACAAAGCTCATACCAACTGATTTATCGTAAAAAAAGATTACAATTTTGCCGTATCCCGTGAACCCCCCCTGACTAATCATAGTATTTTATTCATACGGACGACAGTAATATTCATTGTTCGACTATATACCCTAGCCGAGCATGCACGACGGCATACGAATTACAATCGTATGAGATAATGCAACCCAATCTAAAGACAAACTTTATTCTATATTTTTTTTACTACTAAGATCGTTGAAGAAAGCATCAACAGATTATTGATAATCACAATACTTTGAGTTAATAAAAAATGAGAAATTAATTCAGTGATTGATTAAAAATGACAAAATCAGTAGATTATTATCATAGAACAACATAATCATCAGTTATTGTAATGAGAAATGATCATTTTTTTTAACCTTCACATTTCTAGAAAGAACTATACGTTGCTTTATATACAATTAGAAACTTAATGCTTATTCATATTATTATGCCAGATTCCATATCAATACATAATATTAATTACCCAGATAGGGCGGCCGTAGCTCACGAACAAAACATTGTGGGGACCGTTAAACACCAAAAGGGGGTAGAAAATGGACACAGAAGAAAAAAATACCCTGACCGCGCATGACATCACGATTAATATATTGGAACTTATGCAACTCACAGTACAAATCACATACATTTAGACCCATTATGACTCTTCTTCATCGTTGCTCTTCATCTCTTTCTTGCTTTCCTCCTCTTCCTGCATGCTCTCTTCATCCTCATCCATGCTCTCTTCGTCATCCTCCTTGCTCTCTTCCTCTTTCTCCTCTTTGATCTTCTTTTATGCGCGACATCCGACGCCATCCTCGACAGCTATAGGCTCCTACAAAATTATAATACAAATTTCAGCAAATGCATATTTTAAATTTATAACATTAGTAACCTTGACTTCCTCGAACCTGAGCTTCAACTGCTTCCTTCATTGCACGATGAACAGAGTTCGATGGACAGATATTTGCTTTCTTCCTCTTCCTTGCTCTCTTCATCCTCATCCATACTCTCTTCGTCCTCCTCCTTGCTCTCTTCCTCTTTTTCCTCTTCTTTGATGCGCGACATCCGCCGCCATCCTCGGCAGCTATAGGCTCCTACAAAATTATAATAAAATTTCAGCAAATGCATATTTTAAATTTATAACATCAGTAACCTTGACTTCCTCGAACCTGAACTTCAGCTGCTTCCTCATACGGGCATTGCACGATGAACAAGCCATTGCTTTCTTCCTCTTCTTTGCTCTCTTCATCCTCATCCACGCTCTCTTCTTCCTCCTCCTCCTTGCTCTCTTCCTCTTTCTCCTATTTGATCTCCCTCTTTGATGCGTTACATCCGGTGCCATCCTCGGCAGCTTTAGGCTCCTACAAAATTATAAAAACATTTTAGCAAATATATAATTTAAATTTATAACATCAGTAACCTCGACTTCCTCGAACTTCAACTGCTTCCTTATACGGGCATTGCACGATCAACAGAGTTCGATTGCTTTCTACCTCTTCCTTTCTCTTTTCATCCTCATCCACGCTCTCTTCTTCCTCTTCCCCCTCCTTGCTCTCTTCCTCTTTCTCCTCTTTG